CTACTTGGTCGCAGTTGAGATTTTGTTTGGGCAGCCGCTCGTGGGACACTAGAGTATTGCCAGAGAATCGTTGAGCAGCTTTTGGTTCAAGTGTGTCTTTGGCCAACATCTGTCGTGGCGCGAGCTTGCTTTGGATGGCCAACATGCGTTTGGTCCCTATGATGTTCTATTTGGCTCTTTTGGTTTTCCAAGCGCCTTGTTTGAATATGTATATAAAGCTCTGAAATGCTTCGCAAAGCTTATTGAAAAACATGTGTTCATGCATATATATATATGTTCGCAGCCCAGGCATCTTCTGCTGTTCCACGTGATCAATCTAGCACAGTTCCAGAGCAAGCTTGGTACTCGGCTGTGAATGATTTGGAGAGCTGGTTGGAATTTGCAGCCAACTCAGAAGGCCTAACTTTCATTCAGCCTTTGGGAAGAAACCTAAGATAATATCTTGAGCGTGAATGCAGTACTTTGTTTTTTATTTTTTTAGAGGGAAATTGTTTGGAAGGCAAGCCAGAGTGGTATTGCTTGGATGTATTTTCAGCTTCAAAGTCTGTGGCCAATGCTTTTTCCAAGCGTGGATGGCCTTCCAAATCATATGACATCAAGACAAACAGTGGAGCCAACGATATTACAACGTTGGAGGGTTTTCGCAATCTGATTTTGCTGGGCTTGGGGTTTCTCAGCTTATGTACTTGCCACAGAATGAGGCGTCCTAATCATTTTAACTTTTGATGTATGATGCTCTTATTCCATCTTATTCTAGACTCTAAGTGCTTGTAAACTCTGCACTCTGGGCCTGAGGTTGCACCAGCATGGACTCTTGATGTGCGCCCCTCCATGCTCGCTCTTTGTCGGTATGTCGATTTCGGTACATGGTAGAAGCGACGCTCTTCTGAATGGTTTCTCAATGCTGAGGCTTTGTAATTATTTGGTATCATTTTGTTTTCCTTCGTTAGCGTTCCTTGAATCTCAGGAGTGGAAGCCAGAAGGGTATGTCTGGCATAAATCTGTCAGACTTGCCAACATCATATTCATGAATTTTGTCATCGTGGCTGCAACAATAAGAATGGCAAGAAGGTAAATTGTGATAGTTTGTGGTTTGAAAGGATTCAACAGGTATTGAAAGCCATTCCAACTCCCAACATGCTTCTCCCAGGTGATCTTTTTGACGATCATGAACCGGCGACGACCAGATTTGCGCGTGGTATGCGAACAGCCCAGTTCGTCGTTTCTCTTCAAGATGCCAGCATTCCTGGAACAAATTCGTTCCTGGAATTTTGTCAAGACATTGACATACATGGGTGCCTTCGGTCATGACCTTCTGAAGGCCACGCACTTGCAAAGCAACATGCCCACGATCAGAAAAGCAGAGCGACGTGCGACGCAGAAATTCAAAGCGCAGCATCGCAACCGCATGGCAAAGAAACGAGAGCGCCAAAGACTTAGAGGCCAGGCCCCAAAAGAATATTATGTACAGCTTCCAGGGGGCCGCTTTCAAGGTGGCAAAGACTTGCCCTTGAGTGCCTGCTATCCAGCGCGCTTTGCCACATGTATTTTCCATTGTTGGTTGGAAAGCCGTCAGGCTGACATGCCATGAGGCAGGAAAATACAGTTTCCTGAATTGTTTGAGTGGCATGCCAAGACATGAATGCCTACAAGACTCTTTGGGGCACAGTGTGACGTGAAGATACCAAAAAGGATCAAACAGGTTTTGTTTTTGCTTTTTTCAGATTTTTCCAGGTGATGTGCGCACAGTGACGAGTCAATGGTTGTAGACGGCTCATGTTCGTTCATTTCGTTTTGCATCGTTTTGCTATGTTTTCTGGTGCTTCCAGTTGGCATCATGAGCGACGTTTGCCTGAGCCATTTGGTTGGACATTTTGCAGAGGCCCTTAAATTCTTGGACATTCTTGGACCTTGCTGCTGAGATGGTTGCTGCTCATGCTGCTGATGCGCCTTCATCCGGCGCTGCGACTGTAGCTCCTGGAGCCAGCGAACGCACCCCTGAAGAGAAGTCTCCATGCTCGTGGGAAATGAGTGCTTCAGCTCATTCCTCTCAGGAAGAGGCATCAGATAGTGAATCGCTTGACTCAACCAATACCTCTTCATCTCATGTAGGGACTTCCGGGATACGGCTGCCTGCAAGTATGCCTGCTCCAGCGTTGACTATGCCTGCTTCAGCGCTGCGTCAGGTGGTGAATGCTGCGGGTGGTAGCGTGGTCAATCTCAACATCCACATTCATGTGCGCAAGGTTCATGTGAAGAAGAATTCCAATGTTGGAAAGGATTGTCAGAAAGGTCAGGCCATGGCCCCTGCTGCGCAGCGCAATCCACTGATCAACGTCACGGTGCACAATCACCATTGCCAGCAAAGTGGTGGCCTGACCACAACCAGTGCCTCGTCTCACCCTCCGAATGCATCCACTGCTGCTGCCAGTGAAAGGCTGACTGGGGAGTCTTCCTATGCTTTGCAGAGGAAGGGCGCTGCCTTTTTTGATGACTGTGAGGACGGTGATTAATGGTGTACATAGTGCTGAAGAGGTGCTGTAGATGTCCTTTTGTTTCAGAATCTCATAGAATCTCTTAGATGCCATTTATTTGTTTCAATTTGGAACACGTTCCGGGTTCTGATAGTTCTTGGTAGCAGTCAGAAGCGTGATTGGATGTGTACTAGGGCAACGGCTTTTGGGCTTGCCGTTGCTGAGATTTTGTCGTCGAATCTGGCGCCGGTCCACAGTACACGTTTGATCACTTTTGCTTTTGAAAACAATGGAGTGCGCAATAGGAGGGCCGGTCGTGGGCAGAACAATTGTCGGCCAGAAGCTTTCTATGCTTTTCTAATCTTTTCTATATTTTTCTATGCTTTCCTAATCTTTTCTAATCTTTCTATCTCTCTCCGTTTTGTGCCTTTTCCATCCTTGTCCATCCTGTGCCAATCTTTTCCATCTGAGGCTCCTATTGAGATGTGGTTTGGTCTTGTCAAGACGCAGGGCCGGGGACGGACGGGCAGTTGCACCATCGCGAACAGTGTGGCTTCTGCTCAGCTGCTACACCTGAGGCAATCTCAAGTGGCTGAGAAAAAGGCCTGATGGCTAAACTTTTGGTTTCCAATCTGACCTTTAATTTTAATCTGCCCCTGTTTCCAGTGGTGGCTGACCCCTCGTTTAATTTCCCTGTGACAACTCTATCCACAACTCCTCAATGAGGTGGGGGGTCTTCTCCCATTTTCCAACAAGTCTTCCAGCAACATTTTTTTAAAACAGCCCCTGGGCCAGAAGTGAAACACCCCTGGATTAATTGTGTTAGGTGACGGAAATCTTCAAACTCAGCAGGGGTTCACCCACTTTCTCCAATCCAGAATCGGGGTCAGGCCTTCAGCAATCGTAAACTTGGTGAACGACCAGACCTAGCTGCGATGTCTCGGACATGCTTGGAAGAAGTCTGCAAATTCAATTCCATTTGCACTTTGGGGCAAGATGAGAAACAGATCCAGGCAGATCTGATCCTATGGTGGAATAGCCAGGGTCAGCAAGAGCTCTTTCCAAGTGCAGCTGGCAAGCTTCAGGACGATGAAGCTGAGGGCGATTCTTCAGAGGAAGAGGATGAAGCTGCAGAAGCAGCAATGAAGACTGAGGCAGAGCAGGTGGAAGCCGAAATTTCTTCGAACATTGAGGCAGTGGAGGCTCTGGCTTGCATCGAGAAGGATTTTGAGGCAGCGTTTGCTGGCAAAGAGTCTGAGGAATCTTTCAAAGATCCCTTTGATGAACCGGCAGATTCAACGGATGAAGAGACATCCCCAGAGATCGCAGCCAAGAAGGCAAAGACCTCAGACCCTCCTCTGAAGAGTATCAAGACCTTAGCAGATGTGTTGGCGCACGCAGGACTCCAAGAGTTTCAGATCCCAGAACAAGACACAGAAAAGAACCTTTTCCAGCGAGTTCGGGCCATGTTTCCTTCGATGCGGAGTTTCGGTGCTTTCATGAGGACACAAGAAGGGGTGCTTTCCAAAGCGGCCATCAACGGAGTAACCTCCAAGACCCGTCAGCACAATCTCGCAGAGCATAGCTTGGCTTTGGCAAGGGCATCACATTGCTGTAGCGCTATGCGCCAGTCTAGATTTGCTCTTTGGGCTGCTTTTGCAGACAAAGTCGTTGATGCTGCTGAAGATTCAAGTGTGGCCGCCAAGATTGTAAAGCTCGGACCTCCCACTGAGAAGGACTCGGAGGGGGTTGTGAAGCGGCAGTTGCTGGTGGTCAAGCCAGAGATTGCATCATCAAGCCTTGTCAACCAACTCCGGTTTGCTACGCCAACATCGGTTTGGCGTGTGGCCCGCAAAACCGTGAAAGCGGGGCGCAGATACTTGCCAGACAGCAGGTTCCCGGCTTCATTGATTGCGCAGGTCCAGGTGATGTTGCTGACTCCTCATGAGACGTCCAAAGGTTCTGGCGTTTATCGACTTCGCGGTTCGTCGCTCGTCGTCAATATACTGAACTGTATTTTCCATTATTTTCCATTATTGTCCATATGTAATTATTTTTTGAATTATTTTGATACGTGTTCAAGATCTTGACCCGTTTGCGAAAGATATCAACAGATTAAACAAATCTGTCTTTCATCTGAGGACTTTGTCTCCAGTGGTATCTCTTCATCCACACGACGGCTCAGTCCTCTACGAGGTCCCCAGTGACCATTTCAAGCTCAAGAGCACTGCTTTTGGGGTAGCTAGCTTAGAGTCAATCAAGTTTTATGACTTTATAACTTTTTATATTTATACTTTTTTTGATATTGTTTGGTACTTTTTTTTGATATTTTTTGGTGTTTTCTTTTTTGGGATTGTATGGCTTTCTACTTTTTTAGCAGTGATTTCATGGCCCAAGGTCGAGTTTGAGATCTCAGAATTGGCGGTCAAGGCTTGGAAGAAGGTGAGTGATGCTGGACTGTCTGTGGAACCAGAAAAGAAGTCTGGCAAGAAATCTGAGCCAACGGCTGTCTACTTGTGTGACGGAGATCTTGCAAATACGCAGAATGGAAAGAAGAACATGCGCTTGTTCGTGGAGAACATGGTCAAAGACTTCGAAACACATTTCTGGCAGATCTTGGACGATGAGGGCAACATCAAGCTTGGCAAAAAGAAATTCTCGTGGAACGAGCTCTCAATGAAGGTCCCAACATACCCTGAAGCTCCGGGAAGACAAGTTTTTTTTTTTTGGCTTCTCAAAA